CCTGTCCCGCAGAGACCCACCGGCAAGCCAGGTGAGAGCCCACAGGGCACCGGTGCCTTCCGCTGTCCCCAGCGAAGAGGGGTGATGGGGACACCCACACACCCTGCCTTTCACCCAGGTCCTGCCCCGTGCTCCTTCCTCGCTTAGGGACTGGGGTGGCCCCACATGTATTTGGGTTGGCATCTCTGTTGTTCCAGATGCCCTGGATGTTTGGGAACACTGCAGTGGCCTCGGGGGGTCCCCCTCCAGGGTTGGCAGTCCTGGATGGTCACTGCTGACTGCCCTTCCTTGTCTCTGCCCACAGAGGTCAGCGAGCAGCCCGTCAGCCCCTACAGTGAGACCGTCTTTGGGCACGTGGCCCCACAGGAGCAGCAGGTGAGAGCAGACTGTGGGGATGGTGGCTGTTGCCTGCCATCACTCTGCATCCCACCAGCTGCTGCAAAGTGGGGAGCTGCAACTGGTGAGACCCTGCTGCCTAGCAGTGCCTGGCTGAGCATCACTGCTGGGATGGGATCACAGGCTCAGCCACACGGGCAGTGGGCCAGGCAGGTTGAGGAGGTCTAGGATGGGCGAGGACAGAGGGGAGAGGAGATGTGACCAGTCTTTCTTCCCAGGGTGTTGACATCTCCACTGGTCAGAGCTACGAGGCAGTGTCCGAGCTGGACCTGGAGCGAGAAGTGTGCAGGTAAGCATCACCTCCTCCCGGCTGCAGGGGCTGGGCTCAGCGTCTGGGGATTGCATGCCAGGGGGACAGGGGACACCCCTGGGGACAGTCTGAGAGGCAGTGGGGGCTTTTCCCCCACCGTAGAGCTGATCAGGAACATCTGGGATCAGGTCAACAGTCTCAAGAAGAGTCGATGGGCTCAGAGATGAGAAGGAGCTGTGTTGGTGGGTAGGCCTCGGGGGGACAGTACTTGCCTACAGATGCTCTAGGTGCACAGCTGGGGCAGTGCCAGTGGCACTGAGCACCTACATACTGGGCAGAGCCTGGATTTGACCATTGTGAACAGGGAAACACCAGGGGGGACAGGGATTGCTCAGAAATGGGATGGCTCTGAGATCCAGATGAAGGGATGTGCGACCTCCAAAGGCTCCAGCATCATCAGATCAGCATTTGCTGATCCATCACACTGTGGTCAACAGTGAGGTTGTGAGGGGCACCTTTAAAAAGCTTTTGAAATGTATGTTCCATAACTCCTGATAGCATCTCAGAAAGAGGAAGGAAAGCTGCTCTTCCCATTTCGGACGGGGAGGGTTCCTTTTCCTGTGTTGCTTAGAGAGGAGGAGGCGAGCTGCAGCTCTATGTTCTTCGGCTCTGCCCGTGGTCTTGCTGGCCAGTGCATCCCCCTGCCCCTGCCTTTCTGGCCCCAGTATTGGTCAGTCCCGCCCATCTTCTGCTCTGGGTGTGAATCACTGCAGTGTGGGCTGATCCAGTGCCACAGTCAGCCAAACATTGCAGCCAGGTGAGAGCCAACATTGGCCATGGGTGGGGAATGGCAAATACCTGGGAACAGGAGCTTTGTAAACAGAAACACTGAAATCTGCCATGCAACCTCTGAACCAGCAGTTCAGAGAGGGGCTGGGTGCTGGCCCACTGGTCACAGTCTCCATCCAGCGGCTGCCAGAGAGCTGGGATCCAGAGCATCCCAGGGGCATCAGCCAGGCACTTGCAGACCTGGACCAAGCAGGGACTTTGCAGGCTGGGCTTGCTGAGAAGAGACAGGATGCAACTGTCAGCAGAGTGTCAGAGGTTTTCAGTCCACAGGTTTTTTTTTCTCCCAGCCCGAGCACTAAGGTGGTTGGGGTGTGAGGAGTTGAACAAGAGACAGAAAAGCCTTTGCAGACCTTTTGCATTGTGCTCAGAGACTCTGCTGGCCAGCTGCTCCAATGCTTTCCTCCCCAGACCAGCTCCACCAGTCCAACCGTGATCCCCCTGGAGCAGAGCTATGGGTTCCTGCTCAGCTTCTGAGCCACTGCCAGCCAGCCCTGGCCCCTGCCTATGTGGGATCTCCCTATCCTACCCTTCAACATTAGTGTTTCTCCTCTTCAGCCAGTTCCTCATCCTGCTGGCTGCTACCTGGCCACTGAGGACAGGGTGAGCACCTCCTCCAGTCGATCAACCCACTCCTTATGGGAAGTATTTTCCACTCTCAAACTTCGGAGAGGCTCTCCTGCTCCTTTGGCACAATATTTTCCTCCTACCTGAGAAAACTCCTCTTGCCCAGTTCTGGGGGAGTTTTGTCTGGACCATGCTGCAGTCTGGCATGGGGACTGCACAGCCAGTGTCGGTGTTAGAGATGAGCAGAGCCGCCTCAGCCAGCAATGAGATATCCTCAGCAAAGAGGAAGAGGAATGTGAAATTCCCCTTAAAATTGTGACCTGGGTCTTTGAGGGGTGAGCAGAGCCTGGAGTGTAGGGTGGAATTCACTCACTCTGACACTGAGCACCTGCATCCAAGCTGGTGGTTCTCAGCCCCATGAAGTGCTGGTGCTGAGGACAGCATCTGCCCTACTTCAGACATCAACCTCAGCAGGAGAGAGATGGTGGCACAGCAGTGCCTGTGTCACCCCATGGAGCTCAAGGGACTGGGTCAGACAGCAACTCATCAGGCATTGTGGTGAGGATAGTGGACCCTGTCCCGGTTTGCATCAAGACCCTTGTAAGATGATCCTCAGGCAGATACTTACCGGGACTGCTTCTCCCCACATCTCAAGGCATCTTCCCTGCAGGAAAAGAAACACTGAGAATCGTGTGTGCTTGACAGCTTATTGCTTATCTCCCTGCCTACCTCCAGGTGCCCATCAGCAGGTTGCTTGCCTGGCCTATGGGCCCCAGTTGAAGTAACCAGATCCATCAGCAGCTCCTCGGTCCCCTAACCACGAGCAGATTCTTTTCGTGCATCACCCATCCTCCATACTCCACCAGCTCTCCTATGTGACCACTGACAGGCTGAGACTGCCCCAACTCAGTGCACCTCAGGTGTCACTCTCAAGGCTCAGCTGACCTGGAAACATCCTCTCCTTGTCCTGGGGACTCATTCAGCTCTAAGCTTAGTTGTCTTCACTGTCTAACACCAGCTGGAAAGGGAGATGACTTGGCCTTTGCAGACTTGTTGCCTGGAGGTTTCTTCCACCAACCCTGTCCTCAGGGGCAGAGCTGGGAGATGGGTTGAGTCTTGGAGTGTTCCTGGGATGCCGAGAGACCCTGCTCCATTTGGGCAGTGGGCTTTGTTTGTCTCTGTCAGATGCTGCTTGTCCTCCAGCTCTTCATGGTTTCAGTGGCTGTAAATCATGGCGCAGAAAGGGGCTGTCATGAATTTTTCCCCTTTTTCTCTTGCCCTGCCCCTTTTAGCGGGTCTGTCTCCCACGCAGCTCTGGCACTCAAGGCTGTTGTCCGCCTACGACATACAGAGTCGTCCAGTCACCCCACTCCCTGGCCAGTCCATCCTGAAGAAGCTGGACACTGGGCTGGGACTCCAGCCATATGAGTCACCCTGCCAAGGCTCTGTTATGCTAATTAAATAGCAATTTCCATTGCACTCTGAGCCTCCAAGTCACTCATGGCCATTTCTCATCTTTCTTGCAGACATTAGATCCAAACAGGCCATTTTCCCTTTTCACGAGCCTTCTCAGTCCCGTACACCATCCCACTTCTCCAGAGCTAACCTCTAGCCTGGGTGGCTTCAGCCCAACATCCTCCCAGACTTCAGGTCTTGCTTCTGTTCCTCATAGGTCAGGAACATCAGATGTTCAATGGCCACTTAAGGTGCCTGTCCAGGGTCAAAGCACAGGTCCATGCAATGCCTTGGCTGCTAATAAGGCAGTGCTCAAAAGCGGGTCCTTGGAGAATTTACAGTAAGGGGAGGTGTTTGGGGTAATTCTCCTGGTCCAAAATAATTTCTAGCCCATGGACTTGCAAGTTGGAGGTAGTTTCTCATATTCAGTATCCCCCAGTGGGTTACTCCTTTTGCAACATCCCTTGGTGAGGAGTCCCACAGGTCAGCCGCTGCTTTTCCATGTGGTTCTGCACCCTGTTCCTGCTGGCTTTGTCTGACAGCCCCCAGCTCCTGCAACTGGAGCAGTGGTCCTGATGGTCAGGAGATGCCTTGCTGCCCTCCATATGCTGCTCACAGCTTCAGAAACCTCACCCCATCGCTTACCCTTTCCCCATTGGAGATCCCCAGCTTGCTCAGGTGCTTCTCAGACAGAAGCTGTGACAGGGCTGGGACCATTGTCATTGCCTTTCTTGGAGCCTTTTCTTGGCACTGGGTGCCACAAGTGACCCAGTGGCACAGGCACTCTCCTGCCGGTGCTGAGGTGTCCCGGCTGCCAACAGCAGGGACCATCATGACTCTCTTCCTGTCCACCACCGTTGCATCTGGGCAGCTGCCCTGTGAGCTCCTGAGACTGTCAGACATTTTGCAGCACATTTCCTTTTTGGGGAAAGACAAATGTCTGGCTGAGAAGGCTGAGGGGAAGGGACAGGCTTAGCAGTTTATTTTTGCAGTTTCCTTTTATTGTTATGGCTGGATAGTCTCACCAGGCTTGGCTGGGGGTTTTAGCATGACTTACCAAGAAAAGGAGATGGATGCAGGAGTTCCACTGACCCACCTGTCCACCGCAATCCCTTTGCAAAAGATTTTGACTAGACACAAGAGCAGGCGGGAGGGTGTCATGGCAGAATGACCTTCCCAGTGCCATGAACACTGGAGGGGTAAAGGCAGAAGGCAGGCTTAGTCCCCTGGTGAGGAGGTAGCTGGGGTGGGTGTAGAGCAGGCAGCAGAACGTGAGACTGGGGAGCTGCCTGGCTTCAGTTTGCTGCCTGTAGTGTGAAGAGGGGAAGGAGGTGATACCAGGGGTTTGGAGACATGTGGTGGTCCCTGCAGTATTAACTGAGGTAGGGGAGCCCATTTTGCCAGCTACCCCCAGCCTTGCTGTCATGTAGGATTCGCTGAGCCTCGGGCTGCTGGTGGCTATGGGCCTCGTGAGCACTGAGCCCTCTCCCCACCCTGCCATGGAGATGGAAACACCCATGTCACTGGGTGCCCCAGGGAGCTCAGGATGGGGCCAGGAGCAGTGCAATACATCCCCAAATGGGATGGCATTGACTGGGACCCCGCACGGTGAGCAGCCATGGTGCCGCAGCCAGACTCCCTCACAGCCCCATTTCTCCTAGGACAAGCAGCGAGTGCAGCAGCGAGGGAAGGAGCGAGGAAGAGGAGACACGGTCCCGGCTCATCGACCACATTGTCCAGAATGACACTGAAGGGTACTCAACTGTGGAGGCACCACGGGCCGAGGGCACCCCATTCAGCCTGCCAGCCCATCTCTACCCAGATGAGGTCCTGGATGACCTCACCATCTCGCCTTACGCCAGCTTCACGTCACTCTCGGAGCCCCGACCCACCATGCTCAGCGGCTGGCTGGACAAGCTCTCCCCACAAGGGTACGTGCCCATCAGTGGCCTGATCCCCATAGGTGAAGCCCCCTCAGGCAAGGCTGGTGAGGTGGGCACACTTGTCACCATATTACCGGGTCAGCCAGACGTCTCCACAGGAGGAGGACCCTCTTGGGTGCCCCAGCTGTGTTGCAAGGATCTCTGTTCAGCCATCCTCAGAGGGAGGGAAGGACCTGTGAGCAGACGCGGGGCCCTTGGGGAACTGTCCCCTTCCCAACAGCCCTGTTTTTCTGCCATCCCAACAGGAACTATGTCTTCCAGAGGCGCTACGTCCGCTTTGACGGGAAGAACCTGATGTACTTCAGCAGTGAGAAGGTACAGAGGGGCAGGATGTGGGCAGGGTGGGAAGGCCACACCTTGCTGTTTAAGCAGGGTGCCTTGTCACCACGTGAGCTGCCGTATCCCCTTTGCCTCCCTTTATCCTTCTGTAAAGAGCCAGCAACACCTTATCATCACCAGGGTGAAGCAGCCACAGCTCCTGTGCTCTAGGGGCTCTGGGCACAGCCCCCCACCATAGGAAGCCGGGGTAGCAAGGGTCCCTCTGCCAACACGGAGCAGGTGAGGGGTGTCCCACCAGCTCACAAGCCCTGGGGTAGGCTGAAAATGGAGAATCTTTGGATCCCAGCCGCAGACCTATCCCTACCTGAATCCAGAGCTCCTGCCCAGCTGCTGGTGTCCCCCGGGCTGTACTATGAGTCAGAGCACCTGGATGATGTGGAGGATGTGCTGCATGGGGGAGCTTTTCTCACTGTGTGCGCTGGCACTGTGGGTCAGGTGCATGGGATAAGTCAAAAGCCCTTTCCTGTCCCACATGCTCTCGTCCTTCTGTGGGGGCTCTGCATGCCCCCATTAGGCCTCTTGCGGGGAGCTGATAGCTGCCGTGTCACCTGGCATGACAGGCACTGCTGCCCCAGTCCTGTGGCACAGCTAGCCAGGCTGGCCCCACGTCAGTGGCACCTATGCAGAAACAGATACTGTGCATGGCCCTGGAGCAGCCACTATCACAGGAGCTTGCAGACGTCCCTGCCACATCCCGTTACCCTTATGTTCACGATACCAGCGTGCCTGGCAAGGCAGATGCTGGGGTGCCCAGGTTATGAAGGTGTCCAGAAAGAAGGGTAAAGGGAGTTAACCCTGCCTGGGGCTCATTCCAGGAACCCTACTCCAAGGGGGTGATCCCGCTCTCTGTGATTGAGATGGCTCGCTCCACCAAGGACAACAAGTTCCAGGTCTTCACCAGCCACCGAATCTTCGTCTTCCGCGCTGAGAATGAGGGTAAGCGAAGACCCAGGCCAGGGTCCACCAGTCCCCAAGGATCTATCCCTGCCTCCTTCCTCCAGCCAGAGCATCCCAGGGTCAGGTCTCACCCCATCCCCAAAACATCTAGCCACCATAAGCATGGGGATCTCTTCCCTGCCCTGCCTGCTGGGTGCTCTGGTCCATGCCAGGGTTGTTGGGAAGGGCTCAGACCCTCTGCCTCATGCTTGGTCCCCAGCCCAGAGGAATGAGTGGTGCTCCACACTGCAGAAGAAGGTGATGGACCAGCGCCTGGTGGGGTCCCGGCCCCGGCCCACCAACACTGCTCACTGCCAGAAGTCAGGCACCCTGGAGCTGAAGGGCCAGAAGTCCAAGGTGTTCGCAGCCCTGAGCCTGCCTGAGATGTGGCTGTACAAGAGTGAGCAGGTTCGTGCCCAGACCAGACACCCCGCTGGCATAGAGAGCTGTGCCAATGGTGGACGGGGGTGAGAGCAATGGAGGGATGGAAGGAGCTTAGGCAGGGTAGGTGCCAAAGGGAGAGTAGAAAGGAAAATGATGGGCAGGAGAAAGGAAATGGTGGAGAGGGAAGCTGGAGATCCTGCACAGGGCAGCTGTACGGTGAGAGCTTAGACTTGGAGATGCAGCAAGTGCCAGGAAAGGACCGCTCTCCCAATGTCCTCCCTATAGCCAAATTATCTTCATCTCTGCCCGGCGCTTAGGCCTCAGCCGCAGCAAAGCATCCCAGTCCATCACAGGACAGGTGGACCAATGACCATGAAATCACCAGCAAACATACCTGCTGCAACATGGGCTTGCCCAATGGGAGGCAGCAGGTCTCTGTTGACCCGTCGCACCCTGCCCACTGCCCATGGAAATCCCCACCTCCAGCCTGCTGAATTTTCTCAGCACCCTTGTTTTTTTCCCAGTCACCTCATTTCCAGTTTTCCTGGTGTGTGGTAAGCAGCATCAAACCTCTGTGGGTTTTGCTCAAGTTGATATTTGCTTTTTGAGTGCATCTGACTCAACGTGGACTCGAATCCCCAAAACAGAGGGATCTGATTGCCGGGTTTCAGGGGCTGTGGACAGAACAAGCCTTTCATTTTAAGGCTTAATATACTTGCTGAATGCTTTAGGTCAGCCCACATGGGATGGCTGAGTAATGTGACAGGGTACCACGTCTGACTGGTCCAAGCAGAGCAATGATGGGAGTGTGGGTACCAGGTGCAGGTCTCTGACTCCAGCCACAGCATCACGAGCATGTCCAGTGTGGTGTGTCCACTGCAGCCACAGTGTCATTCTGAATTGCAGTTCTTTAAAATGGGCATTGGCATCTGCTTGATCGAGATGCGTGGCTCCACCATCCGCGAAGCCAAGAACCGCAGCTTCGAGCTCATCACCCCCTTCAAAATATTCAGGTATCCCAGGAGTCTGGGTGGGACAAGGTGGAGGGAGAAGCTGGGTGCTGGACCCAGGTGCTGAGAGCTCCAGGCCCCTGAGTTTCAGCTGTGCTGGTGCTCATAGCTTTGTAGCGGAGTCAGAGCGGGAGAAGCGGGAGTGGATGGAGGCCCTGCAGGAGGCCATAGCCGAGATGCTCTACGACTATGAGGTAGCAGAGAAGATCTGGTCCAACAAAGCCAACAAATACTGTGCGGACTGCTGGGCTCAGAATCCAGACTGGGCATCCATCAACCTGTGCGTGGTCATCTGCAAGCAGTGTGCAGGCCAGTACCTCTCCCTGGGGGGCACATAGGGGTCCCGATGGGTGCAGACTGGGCCTGCCTGGGCAGGCAGGGTGCTGGCTGGGTTATAGGTGAGACTTGGGTGCCAGTTCCCCTGGCAGGATCAAGGGGTGCTCACTCTCCTGCTCCCCACAGGGCAGCACCGCAGCCTGGGCTCCAACATTTCCAAGGTACAAAGTCTGAAGCTTGATACCAGCGTATGGTCCAATGAAATTGTACAGGTAGAGGCACTCAGGGCAGGGTGCTGGGGCTTGCATGGCATGCTTAGGGGCCAGTCTGCTTCCCTGGGCAGGGCAGTAGCCCCACAGCCTCCCTCAAAACGCAGGGACGCTGGGCATCCTGCTCCTCCTGGCTGACCCTGGTGCTCACCATGACCATCACACTTTCCTGCAGCTCTTCATTGTGCTTGGAAATGACCGAGCCAACCGGTTTTGGGCCGCCCGCCTCCCCGCTGCTGAGGCCCTCTACCCCGATGCCAGTGCTGAGCAGAGACGGGGCTTCATCTCCCGCAAGTACCGCGAGGGACGGTACCGCCTGCCCCATCCCCACTATGCAACTCAGGAGGATGTGCTCCAGGTAGGGGTCACCTCGGGGTGCAGGCAGGATGCTGGGGTGCTGAGAACCATCCCAGAGCTCTGGATCTGAGACGCCAACACCTCCTGCTTGGCTCTGTGCACCTGCACCCCTGTGCCAGGCAGTCCCAGGGGCTCAGGTGGGAGGTTGTGCCCCGCTATGCCTGCCTTAAAGCATCCCTATCCGTGGGCTAGGGGTCTCCATGAGCCAGGATATGGTCCCTAAGGGCTCCTGTCTCATCCCAGGCACTGTGTGCTGCAGTGACAGGACCAGCCCTACTCAAGACCATCCTGCAGTTCTTCTCATCCTCAGAGGCTGGGCTGACGGCTGACCCCACTGCCTGTGAGATGGCGCCTGGGGTTGATCTTTGGTGGGGACCAGAGAGCAAAAGGCCCAGGAACCATCCAGGTAACAAGGACCCTCAAGCCCCATCTGACTGTGATGGGGGGCGTTCTTCCTACCCCCCACAGCACGCCCCAAGGCTGGGGACAGCCAGGGCATCAGGTGTTGTGGTTGCCTGGGGGACCCACCTGCCCCACTGTAGCCCTCTTTTGGGGGCAAGGTGGCGGGTTCCACTGGAGCCCCTTTCCAGGGAACCCCATGCCTGGCACACCGCTTTGCCTACATCTGCATGGGTGGGGTCTTTCTGCCCCTCTGGTACCCATGCTTTGATGAGTGCCTGCTCCCACCCTGCTTTCAGCACTGTTCCCCACAGGGGACCCTCACACGCGGGAGCCAGGTCCGGAGGGCGTCTACAATGAGATCACGCAGCCAGTGACGCACAGTGGGTACCTGTATCGGGCCACAGCCCCCCCAAAGCTCCCAGGTGCCAAGAAAAGCAAAGAGGGTAAGCATAGGGAGCATGGGAGGGCAGCCAGTGAGGTGCCCACCCCAGCACTGCTGACCCCCTGGTCCCACAGACTTCCAGCGCACTTGGTGCTCCCTGGAGAGAGCCTTGCTCTTCTTCGAGACAGAGAAATGCACCGAGCCCCTGGGTCACATTGACAGCAGGGACCTCATCTCCCTGGGTGTGAGCAGAGCCCAGGCGCTCACCAGCCCTGGCGCCACTGAAAGGTACTCCCAGCCGTGCCCCCATCGCATCCCAGAGAGCCTGTGGGCACGCAGAGGGCAGGGATGGGCATTGCTCCCTGCTTGGTGTAATGGTCTGGTCTGGCTCTGGGTGCAGGTTCGGGATGGAGGGCTGCCCTGATGGACTGGTTTGTCCTCTGCAGGTTTCGCTTCACACTCGAGCTCTTCCTCACTGGGGAAAAAGTGCAGCAGCTGGGAACCGATGGGCCTGAGACGTTGCAAGCCTGGGCCAATGCCATTGGCAAGGTGAGCCAGCCCCAGCCCTGGCACCCCATGCTGCTGGTGGGTCCCTGGGCTCTGTCCCTGTTTCCCTGTTGTGATTCCTCCCAGCTACCAACATTCTTCTCTCTCTGTGGCAAGCACCCTCCTTCCTTTTGCAGGGGCTCCCATCCACCCTGGTGACCTGCCCCCATCCTCATGAGGGTCTGTGTTTGGGGGCCAAGCCCTGTCTTTACCTGGCTCATCTTTTGCTCCATCCCGCAGTGGTTCACGCCTGTGAGCTGTCATTGCCTGCTTGGCTACGAGTTCCAGCGCGTGGGCCAGCTGCGCTACAAGTGCATGCTCAACCCCGAGCAGTGGCAGCAGGCCTTCTTCATCCTGCAGAAAGCTCACCTCTTCATCTGTCCCACCGAGGATGATGGGGCTGAGGACAGCATTAACCTCCGACGGCTGCAGGAGCTCAGTGAGTGCCCTGCCGCAGCCCAGGACAGGCAGCATGTGGTGGGTGACCGTGCATGGCTCTGACCTCTCTACTTCTTACCCCAATGCAGGTCTGGTTCCCCCCACGGACACCCCAGAGAAGAAGGAGCTGCTGATCCTGGTGGAGATGGGGAGGTAAGTCCTGGCTGAGGGAATGAGCCAAGCAACCTCAGCAGGCTGCCCGGGGCGAAGGCACTCAAGCGTGGGTGATCCCAAACCCTTGGTGGGGATGCTACTAGGACAGCAGGGCTGTGGCCAAGGGGCTTACAGAGGTCACCCCAGCCAGGGGTCTCTCACTGGGGTAGGATGTCCCCCGGCTCTGTCTGGCTGTGCCTTACTCCCTGTCCCCGAGGCAGGCTCTGTTTATGGGCAGGAGGGAATAACCCGCCTCCCCTAGGCAACCTTCATTCCCTCTTCTCTGCCCTTGTCGTTCTCAGGACATTTTACCTGCAGGGCTTGTCGCGAGCAGACTCGGCAGCATGGTACGCCGACATCCAGGCATCAGCGGGGGGCCGGGGTAATGCACTACGGGACCAGCAGCTGAGCCGGGGGGACATCCCCATCATCGTGGACAGCTGTATTGCCTTCATCACACAGTATGGTGAGCCCAGCGTTGCAGCAGCAAAGCTGGAGCATCCTCTGGCACACACATAGCAGCCAGGGGTCTGGGCAAGAGGCATCACTCTTGGGGCACCAGCCCCACTGGGGTCTCAAGGCAGGATTGAGCCCCCACGACCCTATGTCCCTGCCCCAGGGCTGCGGCATGAAGGGATTTACCGCAAGAACGGAGCCAAGTCCCGGATCAAGGTACTGATGGAGGAGTTTCGGCGGGACGCCCGCAACGTCAAGCTGCGCATCAACGACAACTTCATTGAGGATGTCACTGATGTGCTGAAGAGGTTCTTCCGTGAGCTGGAGGACCCTGTCTTCACTCTGGAGCTGCACCCACAGTGGAAGGAGGCTGCAGGTACCTCCTTCACCCAACCCCTTCTCCCACACTTGGGGTCGGTGTCCCTCGGGACAGGGTTTTGGTCCCAGCCCTGGTGCCATGTCAGCTCCGTGTCCACCAGACTCAGCAATGGTCCATGACACATTTTACTTTCTCCAGAAATCTCCTCAAAGCCCCAGCGCCTGGAGCGGTACAAGGAGCTCATTCATCGCCTGCCTCGCCTCAACCACAAGACCCTGGCTGCGCTCATCGGGCACCTCTACCGGTCAGTGGGCCACCTTCCTGCAGGGTTCCCTGGTCCAGCCAGAGTCCCCACAGCCAGCCAGAAGCATGGGGACTCCCCACCATGCAGGGAATGCTGTGTCCCATCACTGCAAGCCAGGAAAAGCCCAGTGCCTGTGCCCTGCCCCACCAGCCCCCCAGTTCAGTGCTGGGGTGTGCTAGAGGACATTGCTCTGGGACACCTCAAATGTTCCCAAAGCCATCCTGCAGCAGGAGAGACTGGGAGGATGTCCAGGAGTAGGTGACACACCCTCAAAGGATGTAAACTTCACCAGTGCCCAAAAATGAGGGAACAAAAAAAATTCCCATCCCTGACTCAGAGCATGACGGGGGGGG